GTGGGGGGGGGGGGGGATTTCTGGTCCGGTTCACGAGGAGTTCACATGTCAGTCTGCGTAGGTGTGTGTTACACACGCACGACCACAGACGTTGGACGCGTGGTAAGATTTTATAACTGAAACATGTAAATTGGTAATGTCAGGGGATCAAAAGTTACGGCTCATTATTAGTAAATATTCATGCATCGTAGTATTTTATATGTCATTTGTTCTTGTTTTATGATGCGATTCAGTTCATTTGAATGCAAGTCAGGCTGCAGCCAGTTGGAGTTGGAATTTCACAGCTTTTTTGATTTGAAGCCTTTATTCTTTTTTTTTTTAAGTGATTTCTCTTTCTCCAATTATCTCCCAGCAGATGCATATGTAGGCAGAGTGTAGGCTGGAATCACTGATACAAAACCTAAATGATCCTCATAATTAGCCCTTAACTGCTACAATTAGGTGCTACATATTGTCTCACAGCACTCAAGACATATAATATGACCCTGCTTCTTAAATAGTTCTTGTTCACATTTGAAGTGATGATGTGTGTTATTTTTTTTCTCTTTCTTTTCTTTAGATTTTATAGTTGGGATGATCATGTTTTTGTAGCGATAGAGCCTACAGTAGTATTAGAATAATCTTTGTTAATCGAATGCTGCAGTATATAAGACAGTGGGGTTGCTATTAATCAGAATACTCCTCTATAAAAGCTTTTTGTTTTTTACATTATCTTCTTATGTGGAGCCCAGGAAGAATACAGTTGCTACCATTGCTGTTGATAATGGCTCCCAAAGGACAATAATCTTACAATGAACCATTACACTATTATGTTTTTCTCTCCCTAGGCTTATAGCCGGTATAGTTTATCACAGATACAGACGAAAAAGGTAACTCTCTGAAATGTCACTGTCTGTTGGCTCCTCTGCTGGTCAGGTGGTTGAGCCTCTTTTGCCTTTTCACTCTTTTATCTGTTTGGTGATGGGACCTTTCACAGCTTTGAGCTTGTTGCTTTCTCATGTGCACAGGGTGGACACAATAAAAGCAACACATGTACAATGCAGTGCACTCAGTTGCAGTAATGTTGAATGGTCTAATGTTGAGTTTATGTTGACATTTTCACACAGGTGCTGATTCAACCCCATGGTAATGGTTCAGGAATAGTTTGGCATTTTGGGAAATGCGCTTTTTCGCTTTCTTGCCGAGTGTTATATAAAGAGATTTATACCACTCCCGGTTCTGTGCACCAAATTTGTAGCTGCAGACGGCAGCTGGCTAGCTTAGCTTAGCATAAACACTGACAGCTGGAGGAAGCAGCTGGCTCTGTCCAAAGGTAACAAAAGTCTACCTCTGAAGCACTCAAAATCTCAAATTAATACTTAATATCTTGTTTGTTTAATGCATACAAAAACTGAAGTGTATAAATGACACGTTGTGCTGTAGCCTTGCCTGGCAATCTCATGGTGAAGGCAAGACTCCAAGACATCAAGAAAACCCCCACAAGACTTTTTTGTATGGATTAAACAAACAAGATATAAGAAATAAGATAAGCTAAGCTAAGCTAAAGGATTGCTTGCTGTAGCCTGACATTAATCATACAGACATGGGAGTGGCATTAATCTTCTTTTCTAACTTGTCAAGTGAATGATTGTATTTCTCAAAATGTCATGTTCAAGACCATATTCAGGTACTTAGTGTAACAAATATTTTGTCCATCAAAGTACAGTCCCTTACATCCGCAAACATTACCATAGAACTGAATCACCCTTGTGACACAGTCGGTGTTGTAAGCCTAAAGGAATTGGATGGCATTACTTTGTAGAGGTGTTGCTTCTGTGTCCAGCCCCTGTTTAATGCGCTGCTAGCATGCTATGCTAATGAATGAGCACAGGTGGCCCTGCTTGTACGTGGCCTATCTTGGCAAGAAAGCCTTTCTCTGCCCATGGAGCTGTTTTGCACAGTGCAGTCAGTGTTTGGTACAAGGTACCCTAGGTGACTGAATGCTACATTGTGCTTTGGTGCATAAATGACACACGCTTGTTCTGGCTCGTCGGGACGTCTGGGGGGCTGAATAATTTAAGGTGCAGGGGCAGCACAGGTAGATCCAGGTATCTATAATGCATGACAACTAGTGTGTGACTAAAAAATGAAGGAATGTCTGTCTGGAGTTCAAAAATACAATCTAAATGGCTGTGTCATGAATAAACTTTCCATTAAATTTTAAGTGTAATCCAGCAACTAATGGAAAAAACAGCTGGAGTTTACTATTTAATTTGACTCTTGTGCAACAACCTACTTACTGATGTGGCAGAATACTAGCAGGTGGAATTGTTACAATGGATTAGTTGCCTCAATGGACATTGCCTAACTTCCTGTGTTACGAAACTGGCCCAGTGAAACTTGTGTTGAGCCCGAAGGAAACAATAGCCTCTTATCGCAGGAATGTTGACCCTCCAAACCAGCTCGGCTGAAGGATTTTACTGTACTAAAGGGAGAATGGAGGGAGTTAACAACAAGGTCCCATGGTGAATATTACAAGAGCCTACACGGCACAGGTGTGAATACAATGCGAAAAACAGGTGTGTGTTCATGTGCACACCCACGCTCATACTCTGACAAGCCCAGCCACAAGCATGTACACGATTTGCTCTTTAACTTTTTCTCCCACTCGGATCTCCCATGTCTTTCAACCGTTACTTATCTCTGTTAACTCAGTGAAGTGTGAGGCTTTCCCTACATGCTCACTTCCACTTCATCATTAACATGTGAGTGTTCAGTGTGACTCTGAGAATTTAATGATTTATATGACAGATTCAGATGACACTCCATCCCTTATCTGCAGACTAATTGAACTCATTTTGTGAGAGTGGACTTCACTAGGGTCCAGTGCACTTGAATGATGAAGGAGGTTAACAATATGACTGGTTTATTGAGTGATAAATCAAATCGGCTAATAGAGGATGGATTGGAACATGGTTACCGTTGCTTTGCCAGTCATGCTTTCTGTTCTCACATATCACGTATTGCGGTTTAGAATCAGAACTAAAAATGTTATAGTATTTTTTAAAACAACAGGTCCTTGATTTGAGACAGAGGTAGGCAAAAACAGGTCTCTCAAGCTACAGTAACATTTTGTCTATGAGTTAGCTGAAATTGCTGTCTCTGGCTGACTTTTTAATGTTTCCAGCTGACTTGTTGGAAAACAAAAACCCTGTAAGAGGCTTTTTAAATATGTTCTTGATGGCCACATGAAACACTGAGGTTAAAGCTGCAGCCCCGTGCAGAAAATTTGCATCCTTACCCCACCAGTTTGTGATCCATATAAAAGACACAGACTTTAACCAACTTAATACAGCTCGCCTTCCAAGGGTTTAAGAGAAACTACATTGCCAGCCCTATCTACAGCCAGTGTTTGGTTTGTCCGTTCTGGGCTACTGTAGAAACATGGGGCTTCAACATGGCGGACTCCATAGAAGAGGACCCGCTCCCACTGAAGATAAAAATGGTCCATTCTAACGTATCAAAAACATAATAATTCTTATTTTAACTCACTTATTAAAACTATATTCCATTTATGCCAATAGATCATCCTAAATGTTACACACTGGACCTTGACCATTATATAATAATAGTAACACAGGTTACTTAGATTAAACTGATCCTTTTCTGTGTTTCACAAAATTACGGCACTCAAGGAGCACGCTGCATTCCTCTCTACCCTTCTGTCATTGTGACATCACCCCTGCCCCTCATAACTCAAACAGGAAATGATGCGTGACGTCCACTGCTTCTCCCTGTCAGCGCCAAGAACATCGTGATGGATGGATAGACGGAGGGGCCCAGGTTTTAGCCAGGAAGGCGGCAGAGGGTCAACTGTCCCCGGCTGTCTTGCAAACAAATAGCTTTGTTGGTCTCAGTGGTCAAGGTCAACTGAGGAAGGGAATAAAAAGTTGGAGAGGTGTTTTGCTTTAAAAAACTAGATTTGCCATAAAAGGAATATTCTGTAGATGATGTAGATGTTCATTGTGTTTATGTCACTCCTCCAGATATGACATTTAAGGCATAGCTTGCTGACAGACACAAAGCCTGGAGAAATGACACAGAGATGATAGCAAATGGAATTGAGGCCATGAATATGGAACCCAAAGGATAGAAAAGTACCATGGGAAGGATTGTGAAAGGTTAGAGGAACACTAGCAGGATAGTAAGCTGCAAGAGAAGAGAAGAGGAGAAAGGGAAATATCAAAGGACAAAGAAGACAAAGGGGAATGCTGATTGTAGCTTTGTGAATGTGCAAACTGTGTATGTGACTGTGCACCTGTGTGTGTGTGTGTGTGTGTGGTGTTGTGTTGTGGTGGTGGGTGAGGAGAGAGAGACAGAGATAATACAGAGGCAGACAACATAGCACATTGTCCATGCATTCATAGACGCACACCCACAGCTCATTGGGCTATTTATTGCCCGAGTGCTCCCAGGCATCATGTGTGTTCACACGCCGCGCCTCGCGCAGAGGGAACACTAGTGCGTGACATGAGAAATGTCATAAGGAACAGTGGTGTTGCCGTGTTCCTGCCTACAGAGAGAAGTAGTGGTTTACCGCCCCCAGGAACAGTGACTCTTTGGCTGCTAATGAGGACAAATCTTAGGAACTCTGTCCCTGCGTAATGGCTCTTGATAATGACACAACGTGATACAGCCCAGCACACTGCCAATTATGTAGCAAGCCCGAACAAATAAAAATCTGTTACACAAATGAACTGCTTAAAGCAATGGCGTCAGTGTGATGATGAGAGTGCAGGTGCAAGTGTAGGAATGGGACAGAACCTCCCGAATGAACCATCACTGAGGATCTTAATGTACACAGTTGAGTCTGACCAATATATATATCATGTATTATCTGATGATGGCAGTTTATCAAATATATATTGGTATTATTGTGTATTTTGTAGGATTAGATGGCACATCTGTATTTTTTATATTTTTTAGACCTAAGAATAATAAAAGACCTGCAATACTTGCATCATTATATTATAAATTTAAAGAAATGAATGCAAACCCATACAGCTACGCTTGGACTGTCAGTACCAGATGCTTCAACTAAGTATAGCACATCCACTTTAATTATCACTTTAACAGACAGGGAACCGAAACTGAAAGAAACTGATTCATGGCAGCTACTATTTAACTTAAAACAACCTGTCTGTGCATTCTTTTTTTTTTCCTACTCTTACTGTGTATACGTGTTTCTTTTCTCTATACAGCTTCGCTGCTGCAACATTGGAAATTTCCCAATTGTGGGACCTAGAAGATAAAGGAAGTATCTTTTATCTTATCTTATCTTATCTTATGCTGCAATAACTCCATTTCCACAATGTAGACTTTTTACACATCACGCACTCCTAACTGAACCAATGAGTGACGACTGCCTACACTTAACAATCAGCACAGATGTATACATGCTTACTTAGAAAGGGCAAAAATGCAAAGATCGATCTCAGGATTTTAAGAATCAATATTGGATAATTCAAACAATTATTGCAATTAATCGGAAATTATTTTTTTAAAGAACATTTTTACCTAGCATTTTTGTCAGTTCAACTTTATTATAATGATTTCTGTGTAATATATTAATTTATAATTATATATTTTTTAATCTGCCTTTCATAGTTTACTGTACATAGTTATAGTTACTGTGATTTTGGATAAAAGATAATAAAAGTTTTTTGTAAACTGTAAAATATCTTCTCAAATGTACAGTTAAGTGATAAACTGGCAATATTAATATTAGTTGATGTGTATTGTCCGATATGTCGCTCAATAAGTAACAAGACAGAATGTACATCAGTATAGTCACATGTTAATTTTTTGTTTACTGTAAGATAAAGTAGTTGTGATGGTGAATAATGTCTGTATGGGAAGTAACTGTATAAACACTAACAGAAGCAAATACATCGATTTTGAGTCACAGTAATGATGGAAGAAATACATTTTGAAAGTGAAACATTACTGAGAGCTTAAAAATCACATGACATAGGAAAGATCCTATGTGCATTATCTTATTTTGGATTCATTGGCATGCAGTAAAGCAATGCCCAATGCATTTTCATTTAACACTGAAGCCTTATATCTCTGCTTTTTTGTGTTTGTGTGTTTGTTTTGCGCCCGTTTCTGCTCAGCAGTGTAACCCAGGTGACCTTCGTGCCCTGAGGAAGGGAATGACCCTCTACCACTCAGAGTCCCAGCTGTCCTCACTGCCCCAGCGCCAGGACGCCATGCACATGGTCAGTACCCAAGAGGCCAACACTCACACATACACAGACCCACACAAGAAGGGTACACACATACAAAAACTGGCATTGGCTCGTTAAGTGCTTAGAAATGAGTGGGTATTCCTCTATGTTTGTCAAAGTCAAAGATCAACACTATGACACTGCTTATACAAACGTGGTTACGTATAGAGACAAGGCTTCATTACACACACTTAATTGTATGCAAGAGTGTACCAGTGTCTCCACAGTCAAGGCAGCTCTAATCCACTTTACTGTTAACTCTCCAATTATACCTCCACAGGCAACCTCACTCCCTATTACACATGACAGGAAGTGAAACACACGCAGGAAGAAAGAGAAAGGGAGGGGGGGGGCAAAGAGTGAAAGGAGGGAGTTAGGGCATGAGGAGGACGAGACAGACTGGAAAAAAGAAAAGAGGAAGAAGCGATACAAAGACAGAGAGGCAAGGATTGAAAATTAAGGAGTCAGCCTTCCCTTCCTCTTCCTCCCGTACCCTCTCCCGTCCTCCTCCCTGGAGCCTGTTTGAACTGAATCCCACTATGAAAGTAATAATCCTCCACAATCCACCGCCACCCCTGACCCTGCCAGTGTCTGGGGAGGAGAGGCTGGGTAATTGTTTTCTGACTGCTTAAGGAAGGTCAGAGCGGGGCTATTCCACTAACCAGAGCACTTAAACCTTCCCACTGTAAAAATCAATATTGTGTTTTAATCACAGGTTGACTGCATTCAGTCAGAAATGCCTCCTCGTGGAGCTTCGTGCCGTTCAATAATGTCCGCGAGCCTTGACCTCTGCGAGAGGTTGCTCCCCGCAGGAGGAAGGATAAACTGCAAATTATCTTGATGGTTGTCTCCTTGCATTTAATTTCACGGTGTCAGTTCACATGAAACAAGGTCATGATATTGACTTGAGGTGTGAATTTTGGCTCCCTGCCGACATGACATTTATTGTCATTCCGACTGACACTGGAAAGTAAGAAGTGGGTCTGTGTGACATTGGTTACAGTCTGTCGGTTGCGTTAGCCCTGTTCATAACACAAAAGCTCACTAAGAGGAGTTTCACGTATCACTGAATTCAATCAGGTTGCACAACGCAAACTAGTTCTTACGTAGACATTAGTTGTTACTATATGTTTACACACATTAACTGCCAGGTTTTACCTTTGCTTAGCTCACAGAACTAGCTAACTGACAGAACTAACGTTAGCTTGCTAATATATGTCCCGTATATATTGAGTGTCAGTTCATGTGGAATATTGTCAATAGAGATAAATAAGCTAGGAAGATTTAAAATTACTTTTTCAAAGCAAAATGTCAAATAATGTCTGTGGCATTTACAGTTTTTCCAGTAAATATGAAACTACAGACAGCAGCTGCTTAGCTTAGCTTAGCATAAAGACTGGAAACGGGGGAAACAGCTAGCCTGGCTCTGTCCACAGGTAACAAAATGTACCTACTAGCACCTCTTTATCTCACTAACTGACATTATATCTCATTTGTTTAATGCAAATAAAAACCAAAGTGATAAAAAAATAAAAAAATGACAAATAGAGCCGGTGACCTCCTCATTGTCTTGTGGTCACTGTGAGGTAGCCAGTCTACCGGCAGAGAATCCAGCAAGCTTATGATATAATACTAGAAAATCAGTCCAAAATAACTTTTTCTTGTGATTCACTTCGTCTTCTTTTGATGGCTTTGTTGTCGTGACAACACCACGGAGATGCAGTCATGTTGAGCTGGATCGATTGCCTGCTCCGTAATGTGGCCTAAGTTCATCCACGTGTGAGAGAAAGCCCTTGTTGGAAGTTAGAGAGGGAGAGAAAGAGTGAAAGAGAAGAAGAGAGACGAGGGGCCAAAGACCATAACAGCAGAACTTGAGTGAACTGGACTCCTCGTTGTGTGTACCCATCCTAATCTATCAGCTCATCCTTTATATTTAGCCCTTTGTCTCGATCAGGCCCTGTTTCAGGTCAGTGAGTGTGCGTGAGATTGTCAGATAGAAAACGAGCAAGGAAAGAAAAGATGGATGGAGAAAGGAAGCGGCCAGCCTGCTTGATTCTCGCAAAAACACTCAACAGTCGGCTCAGATTTTCTATCCCCAAACTACAAACCATTGATTCTGACAGCGTTTGCTCCCCCCCCCCTGCCTAAATCAGGCCTGTTTATGCAGGCAAGTCATACCCAAATGTACATCCATATGAACAGTAAACATTGCCCTGAGCTGGCTGCGTGTCTGCGCTGTCCAAATCTGTTCCTTTACTGCACGGCTCCTGATCAAAATACACAGAAAAACCCGGCCTTAATGTGAGCAGGAAGTGTTTACACATTTCAAACAATAGCTTTAACCCCCAGTTGAGTGCATCACAAGGAGACTGATTTACATGTTTTTTTTTTCTTGTAGTGAACTTCAAAGTCCACTGCAGAGGAGCCGTATGGAAAATTAAATTTGTTGCTGTGACCGTAAACAAGAAGAAACACACTTTACTCAGTGGGAAATATGTTTGTATTTAACAAGAGGGTTGTTACATAGAATTTTCTTGAATGTGGGGGTTCTCATACAGCGAATATCTACCATGCTTTACGTCACTCTGTTCATTTTCTTAAAGGAACTTGCCAGTGGCTTTGCATGTTTTACCCTACAAAATAAACCTCCTGGCGAGTTTTTAAGATTAACTTTCAACCAGCTTGCAGACTTGACGTTTGCTTAATCCATTACAGTGAGCATTTTATTGACTTCATTTCTTTGTCATAGTTATGTTGTTGCTGCATAATGCAGGTACAAGCAAGGCTGCGGATCCAACCTCAATACTTTTTTCTACAGAGTGAAATGTGTAGGTAGCACCAGTGGTGGAGGAAGTATTCAGATCGTTTACATGCAGCAAGTAAGAGTAGCAATACTGCAATTGAATTCAAAATCTAAAGTTAAGTAAAAGTGCACAAGTTTAACAGCAAACTGCATTTAATCATTGTTTAATAACGTAAATTATGGACATTTTCACATTGTAGTTGGTAGAGGTGAAGCTACTATTAATAATATACTCTTGGGCAGTTTAATATGTAACAATATATCATATTTTACAAACTGATGACACATTTTGTATGTAAACCTGAATCTGCAAAGTAACTAGCAACTGTCAGGATGCCCTGAAAGCTCACCTGGTAGAGCTGGTGCCCCATGTAACAAGGCTGAGTCCTTGCTGCAGGGGCACAGGGCCACTGAAATGTAGTAGCATACATTTAATGCAAAACAACAACCTTTTTAATACAAGAAACAACCAAATTCATATTAACCTTTTCATTTTGTCTATGATTTTCTTTTAATCAAAGCTCATGAATGAAATGTCTTATGGCAGGCGACTCCCAGCTCTGTGCTATTAGCGCACATTGGACTTTTTTAACATAAACTTTTACATAGAAAAAAGGCAAAACCGCTGCGTATGTTGCTTTTTTCCCTCGGACAGTAGGCATATTGATGAGCTTTCAGGTCTGAGAAATAAATAGATGTCATGAAATCACCGCTGTGCATTCAATACGGACAGCTGATACCTATTCTTGTGGTTTGAGGTGCCTGCAGGATGATGTGGTTGATTCGATATGAATACACTGTTGGGCAGTTTCCACAAAACATCTCTCTTGCTGCAGTGGGATGATTATTTTATCTCTGTGCTATTAGATTGTGTGGGCTCATTCTGGCACCCAAATGGGGCCAGTGGGCGCGGAGGGAGCTGACAAACGCATCACTAGTGAGCGGAGAACTGAACCCGGGCTAACAGAGCCACGGAGCTGTGTCTAATGCAGAGGGCCCTGATGCCAGGTTACAGTGAATGGTGCCATTGTGTGTCCCAGAGATCTCTGTGGCCCCTCTAACAGAGAGCTACTGTCTGGAACTAACCGGGGGGTAGGATGAGTCAAGCAACCCCCTGGTCCTCTTCCTGGCTGGCTGCTCCCATCACACCAAGTTAAATCACAGTGTGCAGGTAGCAGACCTGGCTGGAAGTTGAATACGTGGTGAAAAGGGAAGAAAAACACAAGGGGAGGAGAGGTGATTTGAGTTGAGATGAAAGGGATGGCATTTTCAGTGCTACAGTACAAGAAATCTCTCCTGTTGAATCAGAACCAGATGATAATATCCTCCAGTTGTTGTGGGTTTATACCTGACTCTTAAACTGTTGTTGCATGTCACCCCTTCTCTCACATCTTTGCTCTTCTACTGTGGAAGAAATGACACAAAACCTTTAAAAAAAAAAAACTATATCCCTCTTCCTCTTCTCCCCCCAGGGTACTGGCCGTCTCCCGACCAGTGAGTCCTCTCCTGCCACAGGCTACCTGTCCTGCGTCCAGAAGCCTGAGGCTGTGGTGCACGCCATGAAGGTACTATATTCACTTAGCAAACTAGATTTTAGGAAAATTGTGGTGGGAAAACTGCTGCTTTTTTTTATCCTCGTCATGCGGGTTGAAATCCAGTTTTGCAAATTCTTTCACCATATCTTGGTTTGGAACTGTCTTCTGGCCCACCTTTTGCTGCGGACCCTGCTCTGCAACAGTAAACTCCACTACACTGCTGTTAGACCCTCAAACTGAATATATTCAAGATTTTAGGAGAGATACTTTTCACCTGTCAGAAAATGCTTTATTCTGAGAATCAGACTGAATTGTCAGTTTGTTTCACTTCATTCATTCAACCTGTTGTTTTGTCTATGTAAACTGATCTCTTGATCAGATTGGGGGTACAGTGTTCAAACTGATAAAATGAACTCTTTTTTGCTATTTTTAATGAATGTAACTATGTGGGAGGATAACATCTCTATTCTTAATTCTGCCTACAGTTTCTCTACTCGGGGGAAAACAGCTGTTACACAATATGAATCACTGAGCAAATCTGAGATTTGGTTCAGACCTCTGAAACTGGTTCCAGATTCAGAGGTCGGGAACCAGGCTTAAAATGCTTGAATATCTGGTGGTTAAGTGCAAAATTGATACTATAAAAAATGAATACATATGTATTGGCAGAAAGGCCTAAATGAGCTCTTTCTGTTCCAAAAATTCAATTTGTGCGTAAACTGAGAAAGCTTTTTAGAAAAAAAGGTTTGGAACAGACACACTTGTGAAGTTTTGTCTTTGCTCCCTTATAACATTACTAAAATAGCACTTAGACTCATTGACTATGTGTCCATCTTTAGTGAAATGACTTTTAACAGGTCACTTCAAACAAATACACACACTCATTGCTGGGTCTCCCATCAGGTGCTGGAGGTCCACGAGAACTTGGACAAGCAGCTTCCTGAGGACTACGAGGACGATCTCAGTGAGAAAGAGAAGGCCATTGTGCGAGAGATGTGCAACGTAAGTGCGACACTTGCCCTACTCCCCGACAGTTCTCCTTGTATCTCTGAGCATGCTGCTTTCCACTGTCTGTATCGCATAAATGCATGCAATCTTATTTCCTAGGAGGAAGTAGGCCTGTCACGACATATTGTCCAACAAATAAATGAGATAAACAATATTATTGTCATTTTAAGACCATTTCATGCCACTGATATAATGATAATACTATAATGGCACAATAATGCAATGTATAAAGTCACGTTTGAGCTTGAGCACATATCTATAGTGGAAGAGTAAAAGGAGACGTCTTTCCTTCAGGATGTCCTTTCACTTTGTTGTGCAAGTCTTATAATGGTAGAAAAAACCCTGCTGTTTATTCTGGCATCATGTTGGTGACCTCCTCATGTAAACAAACATACATGTAAACACAACAGGCAATATTGAGGTCAGCGAAAACGATTGCTGTCACATCCATCTATTGCATAATAAGTGCAGGCCTCAAAGGAAGTAAAGAGAGCATGGGGTGGGATCAGTAAAACGTGTTAGACTTCCTGTACTGTTTGCTTACCATTGCTGTTAACAAAGGAACCTTATTCCCATAATGCTCCTGTTTGTTCTGTCTGTCGTCAGTTTTTTTTTGTTCTCTTTTTCTGAGTGCAAATCAGGTCAGTTTGCGAGCTGCTTTCACTAATGAGGAAGCCTCATTTAGACTCATTTGGTTTGGAATGACACTTGCAGCAGTGTCCTGGGCACAGTGCGCCCTCTTGCCATCTTTCTCTCTATCTTTCTCTCTATCTGTCTCTCTGTGTATCCCGCCCCTCCCACTCCCTCCTCCCCGCTCCAGAGCCAACTCTAAACTGGAAGCCCTAAGTAGAGGCTCGTAGTTGAGCTGTCAGAGCAATTAAACTGGAGCGGCAGGGAAAAGAGCACCCCCCCCCACCGCGCCCGGTGCGCCTCAGCCTCACCCCTCCATTCTTCCTCTCCTCCGTCCTCCCCCTCATCTCCCTCCATCTTTCTCTGTTGGTGCTGAAAGGCCTGCCGTGGGATAAAAGGTCCGCTGATTAGAGAGAAAAACGAGAGCTGGGCTATCTGTGCCCTGCAGAGGTATGTGACAGGCCAGGAATCTGGGGAGCACTACAATAGCACCTCTGTAATATCACTGGGGTCCCCCGGGGGCCCCGTCTCACTCACTGGCACAGAGATCTCAGCACCAGAGAGCAGCCTCGCAGTGACAGAGGACAGAGATTCAGAGATAACTCGACTATAACGTACGTGTGTGTGTGTATGTGTGTGTGTGTGTGTGCAGTCTTTGCAGCTCAAAGTCAAACTGTGAGCATTTGAAGTTTTCACTCTTGAAGAAGAAAGTTTTTTTTTTGTCTTTTTTTCCTCTGCCTAGCCTTACTCTTTCAGTCTCTGCCTCTGTGTCTGCCTGTCTCTTTCTGTATGGCTCCCTCTCTTCCCTCTTCCCCTCTCAACTTCCCTCTTTCTGCTTCTGTTTGCAGGTGGTGTGGAGAAAGCTGGGTGATGCAGCAGGATCAAAGCTGTCCATCAGACAGCACCTCTCTGGGAACCAGTTCAAAGGGCCGCTGTAGCATGGCAACCAGAGAGAGAGAGAGAGCGAGAGAGAGATCAGGATTTACAGTACCTACACTCGCCTGAAAACACCTCTTACTACCTGCGCCTACACAACCCATCATGCCGTGCTCCCTACTGCCTACAGCCCCCAGCATTCCTTCAACAAGCACTCTCTTAAGACTGGCTAAGATAGCTACTAAATGGACCTGTTAGTTTATTCACATGTACAAACATGTTTTTATCTCTCAGAGCTTATGAAGCGTTGACAACTGGCAGCTAGTTTCACTGATTTGCCACTTTTCTTCGTTGATTTGGAGGCTTCCAGCTACACAACGATCTCTCTCTGTAAACGCTACAAACACACCACTTTTAGTCCCTCATAGCATAGCTGTGCTACACTAAGCTAGTAATAGGACATGGTTTCAAGCACAGACCTGACGAAGCCGCAGGAGCACAGATCTTCGCATGTTGCTGGGATGTGAACGCAACATTGTGGCGGTATCTTCAGATACGTTTTGATAGTACCTCCTATAGAGACCCTAGCTCCTGTCACATGTATCGCCCCCCCCTAGTGGTCAACGAGTATAACTAGCATTAGTATTCTAAAGTGTTAACTAATGTGAAACCCACTGTGACCTAGCGCCTTTTGCTCATAAGACAAGTCTATGGATAATAAAGTCTAGAGATCACTGTTAACTTGTGTATATTATGTATAAAACCATAGCACTACTTCATTGTTATTGTTGATTTTACTTTTCTCTATTTTGTATTCTAGCGTGGCCATGTGATCAATTATTTAGTTTAAAAAGCACACACAACCGGACCTTAAACAGGGTTTTCTTTTGGTAAAAAAAATGTAATCTTTTATTGTGTTTTTCTTTTTAAATTCTTTTCCAGATGAATTGCTATTATTCCTTCTCTCTGTAACCTCTGAAAATGTATCAAGGCCATTCTGAATCAAACCATCTCCATGGGCTAATGGATAATTTTCTTACTTTGTGAAATTAACTAAAATTGTATGCTGTGTGCATGCTTGACAATCATTTTCTCAGGTTGGGAGGGCTACAGCTTTACCTTTGCCCATCTGCGACAACGTGTGTGTGTGTGTGTGTGTGTTGGCGTGCATGTGTG